GCAAAATCTGAAGAGAAATATAATGCCGATGATGCAGCTAAATGGGGTCTTTTGGGATGGTTGACGAAAGGGGGTTCCTCTCCATTGACAGATGTATTTACTCAAGCAAGTAATGACATGGTCGATTTCCACCTTGCTACTGTTTTTCAAGCTCTTCACTGTGAGAAAAATTACCTCCGAATTCAGGTATTTGGGATATATTTACTGCCATACTATGAATCTATACATAATCAATGATCCAAACTCGCAGTAAAAATCGATAATTAACGGGTTGAAGTGAAAATATATATGGTGCAGGATGATACATTGGAGAAAACAGTATCTTCAGTGGATATTGCTACGCAAGAAAACTTGAATAACCTTGTAAAAGTTGGAGAGGAATTGTTGAAGAAACCGGTTTCGAGGGTGAATTTGCAAACCGGTATCTATGAGCCTGCTCATCAGGAAACAAATGAAGAAGCTCTCGTAAGGTATGTATATTTGATTACTCACCAATCTAATATTATTTTTTAGCATGATCATAAATATGTTATATTGATTTAACATTACTAATCACAATTAATTTTCTTAATTAATCTGCACGTATGTAGGGTGGCGCAAATTCTGTCCAGGGAAAGGAAGGTCCGTGAAATGAGATCACCAAATGGAAAGGCTGTAGCTGACAGCAACTCCAACTGATGGTGAAATTAGTGCTAATAATTAATTCATTATTGTTCATATTGTAATTTAGTACTGAATTAATTATTTTCTCCCAATAAATACCAACCAGCATGTTGGTTGTGATCAGCAGTATTTACTTCATTCTTTATTTGAGTTAGAAATCAAAGTATTTTAATTTTATTATACTTTTCTCCTTTTCTTTTGCTAGTTTCCCCTCGTCCAATTAATTACGACCTGAAAAAAGAAGAAGAAAAAAAATGTTGAAACAGTACGGCTATAATTTGGATGTTCGACTAAAACATAAATTTCCTTTTTGTGTTTTTTTGTTTCTTACTTCAAACAAAAAAAGAAAAAGAAAAAAAAGAAAGTCAATCTTTCACGGGTCCATATATAAAAATAGACAAAATTCAATCAGGAATTGGACTCTATCTGATAATTTAAACAATGATTAAGAGCTTCTGCTTTGTGGACTTGTTGGTAACAATCATAACCCAAGTTGACTATTAACTGGAGGAAAAAGAATAAAAAAAAGGTTTCTAGGTCCTCAGACTTAGACTACAAAACAAAATGACCAAATGGTCAATATGCATGCTCCAACTGCTCTCAATATCCTTCACAAGAATTTTCAAACCCCATCTTTCAAGATTGAATTTTATTGGCGACTGGTCGGGCATAAAATAAACCACAAAATGGGAATTGAGATAGCTCTTAAATAATATAACCTCGTTTTCATATCTAATATAGACCAGTCTCTCCGCATGCACTTTCACGCCTACGAGAGGCTTTTTTTTTTTAAAAAAATAATTTATTTTAGAATTAAAAAAGATAATGGGTAGTTGTGTTCCATAAAAATAGAATCCATTATCTGATTTTTCTTTTAATTTAATTTTTTTTAATATGAAAAAGTGTGAATTTACCATATTATCCTCATTTAATTAATAATTTCAATTCTTAATGTTT